ATTTTTTTTTAGATATAATAAGATTACCAGACGAGCACACGGTCTACCTGATGATAAGTAATAGCTGTGGCCCATAGACATCTACATTTGTCCTCGATTAAGAATAAAAACGCAGACACGTTGTAAGCCCTGAGGACTAAGATGGAAAGCCTCGTTTCTAGTAAATAGGGTATCAGTTTCTCTACACTCACCATAAGTAATACAGCAGCAAAAGGCTGCTATTTTAAGCTGGTATTATGTGAGAGCGCGGTCCATCCCCGGTAGAGCCGAGACATTCGTGCTACAAACATAATGTAGCTGCAGCGTGGCTCTACCGGATGAGTAAAGAAACCGTACAGAGGTAAAGCTTCTAAGGAGCTTTCAAAAATTTAAAATATTTCAGGAGGATAAAATTAAATAACAAAATGTTTATCAGATTTTATTATAATAATTAATGTATTTTTTTTTTACGAACTATTTTTATTCTAAATATTTTATTTTTATAATTTTTGTTCTACAAAAATTTGTTGCGCCTTTTAATTAAATGGTAAATTCTAAATTGAATTTCGTTTTATTTTTAAATAATCCATTGAAAAGCACTCACACGAGGTAATAATAATACAATCTTGCACACGTTTTAATATTTCATTACCAATATTTAAAATGTTTCTTTCGAGATGAAAACATTCGCGAAATTTTTGCTCATGTAATTCATACATTTATATCAGATATATTCTTACATTGGCTGGAACTCGAACAAGTACCGTCATTTGTCGGCAAGTTGAGGGATGAGCGATTTCCAAATAAATATTTAAAGGTCCTTTTTCAAAATTCAATACAGGATTTTGCGAAGTGATCCCCAAAATTATTATAATCAAAAAGTTTTGAAAGGATATCTTTTCGTCCGGCAGCTTTTAACCACACTTGTCGTCTAAAATAATTTAAAAAAAAACATGACATGCATTTAACTTATGAACATAATTATTCAATTATAAACATTATAAAAATAAGTTTTCTTTCAACGTTAATAGATATACCTATATGTGTGAGGTATCTATATACCACATTAAAATAATAAATTATAGGCAAGCATATAGTAAACTATATATTCTTAACTAGTGGAATCTTTGGGATAATTTAAAATTATATATTTATATTTATTCTATTATTGTTCATACAAACAAGTAAATTAAACCATATTTATACTTTTTTATATTTCCCTGAACACAGATAATTTTTTAAAAAAACAATATTTGATACTTATTATTTTTTACACAACCATGACTTTGAGCACTGGCTGAGCCGGTTTAAAGTAGTTTCTCTCTGTACGTGACAAGCAGCCAGTGCTCACGCACGTACTCGCGTCTGGCTTGTAGTAGTGTACTCATCATAGCGCGACTTTATGAAACTTTGCCTCCGTACGGTACGGTTTCATTACTGATGTGGCTATACCACGTATAAATCACACTACAATAAATTTGTAAGAAGATGAAATTTCAATTGGAGTGTTCTTTATTATTAATAACAAATCGCGTTGTCTGTCTGTATAAACGCGCATTACACAAAAATCAAGGCATAGATACGGACTCGCTGTACATTTTACAGTACGCGAGTAACCCAGGTTCAATCCATGCCAGCACCAATAAAATTGTTAATTAGAATTTTGAGTGCTGATTTACGACGTGCTCAGCGGTAAAGGAGAATATCATAAGGAAACCTAAAAGAATTAAAAAAAAACATTTAAATGCACCAAAATGCATTAGAACAGAGCGGTTTACACTTCCTTTCCTAAAAAATGCTCTTGATAGAAAATAGGCTTGGCTGTAACAACTTTCTGAACACAATATTACTTAGGCTTTAGAACATTATTAATCCTTACTATGTACCATTTACTGTGATTCAGAAGAAGTGTTAGGTTTTTTTTTATATAATTAAAAGTGACAAACGAGTACACATTTCACCTGATGATAAATGAATGCTGTGGCCGATAGACACCTACACTAAATCTACATAATATATGCCCGTTTCTCTACACTCACCATACGAAACACAGCAGCATTGAGCTGCTATTGTACGCTGGGATTCCGTGAGAGCGCAGTCCTACCCCGGTCGAGCCGGCCCATTCGGATCCCGGTAATAATATAGCTACAGAGTGGCTCTACCACGTATATATTAAATATATATTTTTAATCGAATTTAAAAAAGACGAGGTGCTCACATCCACTGGAGCAATGCGTCGATTTAATTCCTTTGTAGCGAGTTTTACACTTTATTTGTTGAAAGTTTTAAATATTAATATTTTATAAATAAATTTGAAGTATTATTAATCTATGTTCTATTATTTATTAAGGTTTTTCAATTGTTAATAAATATGCGTAAGTTTTGTAAGATATCCTATTAATAAATTAAATTATGTACAAGCAGACACGCGCCATGCATTTTTATGTATCTGCATAACGAAGGAATGTGAAACTGGTTCGGTCGCTGAGCCCGCGCCTTCGGGATAGCAGATCGCCAGTTCGTCCGCTTCCGCGTTGCACGTTATACGTATCCCATACCCATTGTCTGCCTAATACCCAAGCTTATGCAGTTCGTATAGTTTAATTCTTCCTTGTACATATATATTACTGTATTCCTGTCTACTCATTTATACCTTCTGTATTGTGCTGTTATTGAACTTTATTTCTGTGTGCCTAGCGCAATAAAAAATATAAGTGTGAGAAGATGGACTATTATTTAATCAGCCCCCATAAGCACTTACATTGGTGACCCCGAACTGTACACGCCATGAGTGAGAAGAGAAAAAGTGATGGTGCAGGCAGTAGCACAAGCGGCGCCGAAAATAATGCCGGACCGTCAGGTGATTTATGCCGCGTGGGCGTACGCGCGCCGGCATTTTACCCACAAAAACCGGCATTGTGGTTTGCTCAACTTGAAAGTCAATTTGGGCTGGCTAATATTACCACGGATACCACAAAATTTCACCACACAATGAGCAATCTTGACCTAGTTTACGCAGCGGAAGTCGAGAATATAATTATTGACCCATCTATTGTAAACAAATATGAGCGGATAAAGACGGAACTTGTGAAGAGGCTAACAGCGTCACGCGAGAAGAAAGTCATGCAACTACTGACCCGCGAGGAGTTAGGTGATAGAACACCTTCACAATTTTTAAGACACCTGAAGCAGCTAGCAAGCCCTGACGTACCGGAAAACTTCATGAGGACTATTTGGACCAGTCGCTTACCAACTAGCACGCAGTCCATCATTGCATCACAAACGAAAGCTTCGTTGGAAGAGGTGGCAGAGTTAGCAGACAGGATACACGACGTCGTCGCACCTAGCCCGCAAGTAGCAGCAACCTCCGGATCAAAAAGCGACTCAAGTACGATGTGCAATCAAATAGCCGAGCTGACGCGTCAAGTTCACGCCTTACAAACAAAGTTAGACAGAATGCCGCGCTCGAGGACAAGATGCAACTCTAGCCGAGGTAAGCGTAACCGATCGTCATCAACTAGATCTCAATCGAATTATAGAAAATTCCCTACATGTTGGTATTACTACAAATTTGGCGAAAAGGCAAATAAATGTGTTAAGCCTTGCGACTACGCGGGAAATGCACCGGGCAGGCGTTAATGGCGGCTGCTGACTACCCAAGCACCGGCCGCTTATTTATTACGGACAAACACACCAAAATGCAGTTTTTAGTGGACACCGGAAGTGATCTTTGTGTGTTTCCGCGTTCTGCTCTAAAAGAATATCGCCAAAAAACTAATTTTGAACTATGTGCAGCAAATGGTTCTACAATTAATACCTATGGTTATGCTCATTTAGTTTTAAATATAGGTTTACGCCGCGACTTTCCTTGGCAATTTGTTGTGGCCGATGTAACTAAGGCGATAATAGGAGTAGATTTCTTGTCTTACTATAATCTTATAGTTGATGTACGCATCAAACGTTTAATAGACAGTAATACAACCCTCGCGACCGCGGCTTCGCTTGCTCGATTTTCTAATGATGTTTCTTCGGTAAAAATAATGTTAGGAAATACAGCCTACCACAACATACTCGCAGAATATCCCGACATTACCAGACCACCAGGTATTCAACGTACACCTACACACAACACAATACACCACATACGAACAACACCAGGTCCACCAGTTTCTTGCACGCCAAGCAGGTTAGCACCAGATAAATTGAAAATCGCTAAAGCCGAATTCGAAGCAATGTTGCAGAATGGTACTTGCCGACCTTCAGAATCGGCATGGGCATCACCACTGCACCTCGCTCCCAAAAAAGAGAATGGTTGGCGTCCATGCGGCGATTACCGCATGCTCAATGCCCGAACCATCCCTGACAAGTATCCGATACGCCATATTCAGGACTTTGCTTTTAGCCGTTGTACGGTGTTCTCTACAATCGATTTGGTCAAAGCCTATAACCAGAGTCCTGTGAGTCCAGAGGACATTCCGAAGACTGCCATCACGACACCGTTCGGGCTTTACGAGTTCCCATTCATGTCGTACGGCCTTCGGAACGCTGGGCAGACCTTCCAGCGCTTCGTGGACGAAATGCTCCGGGGACTGGATTTCACGTATGTATATTTAGATGATTTTTTGATCTTCTCTAGGGACCAGGAGACACATAAACAACATCTCCGCCAGGTGTTCGACCGGCTTAGAGAGTATGGGATGGTGATAAATACAGCCAAATGTGTATTAGGTGTGCCAGAGGTGACCTTTCTTGGATATAGCATCTCTGCCGAAGGGTCTAAGCCTCTCCCTTCCAAGGTTGAGGCCATTATGAATTTTCCTGCGCCAAAGGTAATAAAGGAGCTACGCAGATTTCTGGGAATGGTGAATTTCTACCGTAGATTCATCCCAGAAGCTGCTAAACATCAGGCACCCCTCAATTAGTTGCTTACGGGATCAGTCAAAGGCTCATATCCGGTTAATTTCACCAAAAAAGAGTATGAAGCCTTCAATGCCTGTAAGGAAAGCCTCTGCCAAGCCACCATGCTAGCGCACCCAGAGTGTGACGCAAAATTAGCGCTGGTCAGCGATGCATCAGATAAAGCGATTGGCGCAACCTTGCAGCAGCTAAAAGGTAAGGACTGGCAACCTTTGACATTCTTTTCTCAGAAGCTCAGCTCAGCACAGCAGAAATACTCAGCCTATGACCGAGAATTGCTCGCTATTTACAAAAGCATCAAATACTTTCGGCATATGATTGAGGCTAGGGATTTCGTGATCTACTCGGATCACAAGCCCCTAACTCATGCATTCCTAACGAGGAAAGAAAACTGCTCACCGAGACAGTTTCGACACTTAGATTTTATCTCGCAATTCAGTACCGATATATGGCACATTGCAGGAAAAAATAATGTGGTCGCCGATACCTTGTCACGAGTCGAGGAAATCGCACAACCCATAAGTCTCGAAAAGTTAGCCCAATGTCAGCAAGCTGATTGCGAATTAAAACTATTGCTGGAATCCAAGAATTCCCTCCAACTGCGAAAAGTACGAGTACCCGGCTCAGACGTGGAGATATACTGTGACGACGATGGCAACACCTTGAGACCATTCGTCTCGAAGAGTTTGCGTCAACTGGTTTTTGAAAACTTGCACTCACTAAGCCACCCAGGCGGTAGTGCCACAGCAAAACTCGTTGCCGAAAGGTACGTTTGGCCTGGAGTGCGCAAAGATTGCCGAGAGTAAGCACGTGCCTGCCTGCAATGCCAGCGAGCTAAAGTCACACGTCACGTATCTGCACCCATCGCTAATTATTCCTTGCCAAAGTCAAGATTCGCGTTTTTGCATATTGACTTAATCGGGCCCCTACCTATATCCCAAGGCTACCGCTATTGCCTTACAGCCATTGACCACTACACGCGATGGCCCGAGGCAATACCCCTGCCTGATATAACAGCTGAGACCGTGGCTAAAGCTTTGCTGAGTGGTTTAATATCACGCTTTGGTTGCCCGATGGATATAGTTTCAGACCGTGGTAGACAATTTGAATCTGTTCTCTTTAAGCGCCTATCTGATATCGCAAGATTTAGGCATAGGCAAACAACAGCGTATCACCCTGCATGCAATGGATTATTGGAGCGATTTCACCGGCAGTTGAAGGCTGCTATCATCTGTCATGCGAGTGAAAACTGGGTTGACTGCCTTCCACTCGTTCTATTAGGGATCCGAAGTTCTTTTAAGGAAGACATCAAGGCGTCATCTGCGGATTTGGTGTATGGGCAACCTTTACGCCTTCCAGGCGAATTATTTGCCCCACAGATCGAAGACACCATCGACGTAAAAGACTACTTATCGCGTCTTCGCAATTTTGTCAAAGAATTGCAACCGTCTCCTACCTCAAATCACGGTAGTACAAAACGACCCATACCCATCGTTTTTAAAGACCTGGCTACGGCGACCAACGTCTTTGTTAGGGACGACACCATAGGTGGTTCCTTAAAACCAGCTTACACGGGCCCATATGAAGTAGTAGAAAGAGGAGACAAAATATTTAAGTTACTAATGAATGGTAATGAAATCTCGGTTTCAATAGACCGAATTAAGCCCGCCTACGTACTGCAACCTACAGACAAACCTGAACAAACACAGTCAAGCACACAATCACACATACAAAATCACACACAAAGTAAACATATTTTGAACAACCGACACACTCCTCCACACCCAGAAAGAAATTTTGTCAGTACTCGATCAGGCCGTAGGGTTCAATTTCCTGACTATTATCGTCCTTAACAAGGCCTCTGGAAGGGGGGTGATGTGGCGAGTTTTACACTTTATTTGTCGAAAATTTTAAATATTTATATTTTATAAATAAATTTTAAGTATTATTAATCTATGTTCTATTATTGATTAAGGTTTTTCAATTGTTAATAAATATGCGTAAATTTTGTAAGATATTACCTATTAATAAATTAAATTATGTACAAGCAGACACGCGCCATGCATTTTTATGTATCTGCATAACGAAGGTATGTGAAACTGGTTCGGTCGCTGAGCCCGCGCCTTCGGGACAGCAGATCGCCAGTTCGTCCGCTTCCGCGTTGCACGTTATACGTATCCCATACCCATTGTCTGCCTAATACCCAAGCTTATGCAGTTCGTATAGTTTAATTCTTCCTTGTACATATATATGACTGTATTCCTGTCTACTCATTTGTACCTTCTGTATTGTGCTGTTATTGAACTTTATTTCTGTGTGCCTAGAGCAATAAAAAATATAAGTGTGAGAAAACGGACTATTAATTAATCAGCCCCCATATGCACTTACACCTTCATAACACTCTCAGAAATGAGAGGATGCCTATTTTCAGCAGTGGGACTAGTATTTAGGCTATAGCTTAGTTCACTTTTATATAAATTAATACATAAACCACATATATTTTTCTGAAAGTAAGATGGAATTTTCATTATATAATTCTAATTTTCTAAGAATTCACTTAGATACTAATTTATGCTATCGACGTCTCTCAATCATTTGAAGTTTGTTTAACGTCCAGGCCGGAGAGTTCGATTAATTTTCACTCTTCAATATATGAAGTTCGGTATAACTTAGGAGTATTTGATTAAGTGGTCAATGACTTGATTGTTTAAAGTTCTCGGTATTCTAAACTATATTATTCAAAAATATAAAACGTTTTTGTAAAGTTAAATGATGTTTCTTATTCGAATAAGATAAATGAAAACACAGACCACCTGATGGTAAGTGAATGCTGTATACTGTGGCCTACGTCTCTCCTCGATTTTGGTATCAAAATGCAGTTGTGTTATCACCTCTGAGGACAAAGATGGAATGCTTTGTTTCCAGTAAAAAGGGATCCGTTACCCATGGGACGCAAAAGGGCATGATAAAAACCATGAGCGAACTGACAACCTAAAAATTTCTGTATATTATAAGAGTAATTATGCAAATGTATGGAAAATGCCAGAAAAATCTTAAGCCGGATCGCCATCCGCCGGTGAAACTATCTAGATTAAGTTAGACGTAAAGTACCTAGAAGAGCGACGGGCAGCAACCTAAAAGGCGAGAGACTTCTAACATTGTGACCGTCAAATCACTTGCCAAGCGAGATGATTTAGGCAAATTTTTGCTACGGAAGAGGCCTTCTCTAGTGGACTTCTTGGAAAGAAAAATGAATGAAGGAGTTATTTTATCTATCCTTCCATAATAGACTATAAATGTCCACTACTGAACATAGGCCTTCTCATTAGATCGCATCATTGGGAAGATATTGCCAAACGTAGCAGGCAGGCAACCGCAATTTTTATTATTTTATTGTTTTAAGGAGTGAAATAATTTGCTGACGTCTGTCTTTCCGTCCGAATAGCTACTGGGCATCTTCAAGGCAAGAGTGAAAAGGCTTTTGTTACGCTAAGACTGTGAACTTTTTCATACGTGGTAGAGCCATTCTGCAGCTATATTAGTAGTATAGTTGTAGCACAAATGGGTTTGCTGGACTGGGGAAGGACCACGCTCTTACAGAATACCAGCGTAAAGTGGCTTTTATAAAGTTAAAAAAATAATTGTTATCAGGAAAATGCTGCTTCCCATCTCCCGATACAGCTTCCTTCTGTCGCCTTTTACGAAACCAGCAGGATGATATGGGGTAGTGGATATTATTAGTATTTTTACACCGCTGCTACAAGTTTACTATGAGAATGACTGTCTCGTTGGTCTAGTGGTTATAAACGTGACAGCTGATCACGAGATCCTGGGTTCGAATCCGTCACGAAATTCTCAGTAGCTGCCTGGAGTCAGGAAGTTAACGGTTTCTCACCCCCGTGCCTCGGAAAAGACGTAAAGCCGTTAGTCCTGCCCCTGATCTCGCTCCGTTCGTGTCGGTTTACCGTCCTATCGGACTGTAAGGGTGAAGGAATAGAAAGTTCAGCTGTGCTTGCGCATAAACTTGGGCACTATAATCCTGTTCTGTGCAGATGGCTAGGCTCCGTCGAAACCTGCCGCCATGACCAAATTCGCTCTGAAGAGTATAATTATTATAACTAACACATACAATATATATATTGTACACGCCCCTAGCTGCCCGGACAAAGGTCGACCATACAGGGGCCCATACAGGTGTAGATTCGACGGACAACTAAGAGTGGGGCCCAACGGCCTATGGAGACTTATTATTCTACACAATAGATATACGGCTAGGTAATTAATAAGAACGTACCTGGTTCCGAAGCTAAGATTGACCCCAAGGCTCGGTCAGGCGGTAGGTAGGTGCATGTAATTAGTGTGTTAGGAGGTGTGTATGTGTGACCTGACCTAACTGAGGTGATTGGGCAGCGGCCTGGTCCGATGCTTCCCCACGATGTGGTATCCCTCCAGCGGACGTCACAAATTGACAATGGTAGCTTTCACTTCACTATTTCAGTTTATCAACTTTATTTTACACTATTTCAATCCATCAACTCCATCGCACATTTAATTAACTTCAAATTTAATTAAATCCCCGTTAATCGTAATCAAAAACGTAACACACGGAACGACTAATGAACGGTTTATCAAAGTTCACTTCCGTTTTCACTCAGCAACAAATTATTTCTAGAACCGAACGCGACCTTCTCTAGGGTCACAAAGTTCCAAAGATTCTTTCGTATGATATTAACAGGCCACTCACGCAAATCAAAGATTGCAACTGCACTTCAAAACCCTATCACTATACAAATTGACGTAAATTACTTGCAACGAAGTTACTTTAATCACTCAAATTCAATACAAGCCTCTTTTCACGAAACACTCAAATATACACTCAATTCGAGGCGATATTAAAGATACCCAAATCTCCGATAGTAATTAGGCGCGCACCATACTCAAATTCGGTCGTTGATCGCAATCAATGTTAACTTCCAAAACAATTAACCTACCCGGCGTCCGCGTAGAAAATCTATTTTCGTAGACTCAACAAACTCCTCGTCGTTGCATAAATTTGCTAACAAAACCGACACATATATTGAGGTTATACGGGACGCGACCACGCCGTTATAGTGACTGCGCTGCAATAACACTTCCGACGCGCTCTGCTCGCAATCAACCCAATCAACCCGATCTCGCGCGAACGTCAACCGGTAGGAAATCGCCGCGCTGAGCAGCCCCTGGCGTCAATTCTTGAAATTAGCATTTGGCGCGAACACATATATATATATATATATATATATATATATATATATATATATATATATATATATATATATATATGTATGTATATATGCTTATAATAATATATGCATTGCTTTTGTGGCAATTTAACATTTATATTATTCTATTTTTTTGTATTCTAATTTGAAGAAGGTTTTTGTAAGTAATTTCGAAGCGTTTAAGAATTTTGAAATACACAAAAATGTAAAGAATGAATAAGCTCACGTTCAAGATTGATTAAAGCTAAAACTTTTATATTCTCTTTTCAAGTACTGAGTTAAAAAGATCTTAGTAATGGTCGCATTTTACCTTTATTTAACATTTTTTATCTGTTTGACCGGTATGACTATAACTTTTATTACAGTTAAATTAATAAAATGAAAGATGTAAAAGAGAATACACAAGTAGCTAAAAAAAGTAAAAAATAGTTTTTTTTTGGAGGTGGATGAAAGCGATTTAGTAAAAGGTATTTCATACGATTTTTATAATACAGGTGAAGTGATTTTCTTTCCATGCACATAAGAAAAAAAAATGTTTTGCAATA